TCCTCAAAATGTCAGGATCCAAAGGCTCAGGGAGGGAGGTTTTTATGGGGTTGGTTGCAAAGGGGAAGCACAGAGGCAGAGTACTGGGCTGTCTTTGATCAGTTCTTAAAGTATGCACCATAGTAACCAGCTGTGCATCACAGTGACCAGCTATTTCTACAAGACAGAAGTAACAGGAACTGTAACAGGAACTGTAACCTGGGTAGCTAATAGACTGGCTGGGGGGCATTTTCTGCTACAGTATGCATGATAGACAAAACACAACTGTATAAGCAGAGAGAAAATCATGAAAACATGGTTTCTATTCTGAAGAGTTCCATTGATTTGGAAAAAGTCACTTTACCTCATTCTGCCTCAGCTTCCTTACCTCTAAGATGACAGAGTTGAAGGAAATACTATCACAGAGCTCTTGAAACACAGATCTCATAATTCCCTGATTCATCTGAAACCAGCTCTGTGGTCTGTGATGAGTTTGGTGACTTAAACTGTTATGATCCTTAAATTATATTTAAACTATAATTGTATTTAGAATTCTAATTTAATTGTATTTAAAATCCTGGTTTGGTTCGTAATTGTAGATTCTCTGATAAACCTTTAATCATAGATCTTCTAAAAGCCTAGTGAGATTATTGTGGGAATAGGAGCCCCAGGACCTCCCTAGACCTATTTCAGACACAATAAATTGCACATAAAGTCTTCTCCAGGTCCTTAAAAATCTGATTCAACAGACTCCTCAGGAAGAGAACAGTATGTTGCCTGTGGAAGGGCAAAAGCATTGAGCACATGCCGATTCAGCTATAAAAATAGTATTGCCCCCCCCCAGTGTAGTAAATAAACATCTGTGAGGGAAAAGGCAAGGCTTTGTAAAATAAATCAGTTCTTCTGTTTATTTTCCCAGAGGCAAAAATCCGTAACTTTCATGAGAAGAGGGAGAAAGCCCCTCCTAGTCTCTGGCATTGGTCAATCCTGTTTCCCAGGAGGCTGTGGGGTCACTCACTGGGGACAGGGCACTCAGCCCTGACGTAGGAACCCCACTTGCTGGATCAGCGCTAGGAATCCTGAAGTTCAGAAGAAAGGAAGGAAGGAAAGAAGGAAGAAGGGAAGGAGAGAGAAAGAAAAAAAAAAGAGAAAAGAAAGAATGTCTTTCCTGTTAGAATTTTTGCTTCTCAACAGCAGTTATGCTTCGCAATTTCATGAGCCCAAGTGCCAGTCTCTAGGCACTGTCACCAGTGTGTGGGATGGCAGGTATGACAATAGTAGAAAGCGCACTATCTGGATTCACGCTACATTTAATCTTAGCCAAAAGGCCAAGAAGAGATGCTATCTGGATTTATGAATCTTGCTGTTTACTCAGTTTGCAGCCTTGGGCAGATCTCTTTTTCTCTGAGCCTCCGTTTTCTCATCTGTAAATATTTCCTCTTTAGGTGTGTAGAGAGCATTACATAGTAGTCACGTGAGCACTGAAGGTGTTTTATAAGCTCTTTTCACATTTGAAGCCTTGTCCTACTAGTTTGCATTTTATTATCCACAAAAGACATCTGTATCAAAAGGACAAGAAAAATCTGTCTGAACTCAGAGACAATATAGATTTAATTACCCTGTGACCCTCCAGATTAGCCACAGATGTGCTGCTGATATTGCTGTATCCAAAACTTAAGTGTTTGCATTGCTTTCTTGAGTTCACATCCAGATAACCTGGAAAATTAGAATTATATCTATTTGATACTGATTTAATGTTTCAAACCTTTCTGCTTCATACGACCAAGGAAAACTCTCATTCATCCCATTCTCTCCCTTGTGTCTCTCTGTCTGTCTCTGCCTCTCTCCCTCTCTCTCTCTCTCTCTCTCTCTCTCTCTCTCTCTCTCTCTCTCTCTCTTTCTTCCACCCTCCTCTTACCTGTTTCGGGCACACCACCTGCACCTCCTCTTCAGCATATTGTGTGGTGTAATATTAAGTGTAGACAGGAACTATGTCCATTGTATCACTCACACTTAGGCCTGTACTTTTCTCAAAGCCATCTCCTGATTATTAATTGTGATTCAGTTTGAATGATTTTTTTGTCTAAGTACTTATAGAACATTTGGGTATCTTTTTTCAAAAAATGTATTAATTTATTTGAAAATGCATTTACTTCTTTAGCACATTGACTATCCCACCTTGAGGTTATTTTTCCTAAATTTAGGCTGAGGACTCCTACTCTTTATGCTAGTTCCATAAAAGTTTCCATTTCCTTTGTTTGGTATTACCATTTTTGAGTGATTCAAACTTGTACTGCATGTGCAGTGAAATATTTATAGGGTCCTATTTTATACATAACTGAGGGCACAGGGTGTTCTTTTAAAAATAATAAGACAAGATGAAAAATGATGTTTGCACATTTTTCACAGTACAGGCTCATCAGAAAGCTGTCTTCCATGGACATTATCACTTAGATCTAGAAAAGGAACTAGATGGAGGAAGCCTAGATTGAGGCTCAGGGTAAGGAACATGGATGTGACCCATACTGGCATTGAGGTATTCAGGGTAGCAGCTTAGGGAGTGAGCTCAGAGTGAACTTGGCTTTAAAACATATTCTGTTCAGATTTCAGTGTTTTTGCTGCCTCCTACTTAATTAGTTTGGCCTTCTCCCATTTAGCCATGCTTACTTTGTCCTTTTTATTCTTATGCCATGGAAATGAAAAACACAGTACCAGCCAAAGCCTGTAGACATGTAGAACCCAGGCTTCTACATGTCTTAGTCCATTTTCTGTTGCTGTGCTAGAATGCTGAAGACTGGGTCACTTACAAAGCAAAGAAGTTTATTTAGCTCACCTTTCTGGAGGCTACAAGCTAAGACCAGGAGGCCTCATCAGCTCATCTTCTGGTGAGGGCCTCATGCTGCTCCATGCCTAGCAGAAAAGTGGAAGGGAAAGTGTATATGTGCAAAACAGGGAACGAACAAAGAGGCTAGCCTGTTGTATAACTACCCACTCTACTGACGCTAATCCATTCCCAAGAGAACTAATTCAGTAGCTCAAGAAAGATATTAATCTTTCTTAAAGGCCCACCCTTCCAACATGGCTGCATTGAGGAATTAAGTCTCAACCAAAGTTTTGGTGGGGACAAACCATCCTCAAACCATAGTACCATACGAATAGAAGTAACCATAAAATTAAATATGGAAAACTGCTGTATTTTCATTGTGTTAGTGGTGCTCAATTTTCATTAGATCGAGTTTGCTTTCATGACAGCTGAAAGAGAGATTGGAAATTCTCTCACCTCCCCATTCCACAGTGAGTAAATGGCAGTCTATACCTGTTAAATGATTCACTTAAGACCCTATACAAGGCAGCAGCAAAAGGACACAAGGCCTGATCCTCTGACTAGTGGGGAAACCAGTACCTGTGTTTCAGTCAATCAAGAATCACTTCATTAGCATCCACTATATACCTGGCAGTGGTTGTACCTGCCATTAAAAAATGGTCATAAAATGTTACGCCCAGCATTGCAGTGCTTTAGAGGGAAAAACTGAGTTATGGATGCATACAAGCAAGAGACCAAAGGGTTAATCAGAAAAGAAATAATTTTCACATAAAATGATCTTTCTTCCTTTTTTATTGTAAGCTCGGAGAGAATTGTGGCAATACAGGTTGAGCAATTTTCCTTTTTATGAATCTCGTGTTCAATTTATGAAAGCCATTTTGCAACCCATTTACATGCAGTAAACCTTTGCTTTAAGGTTCTGTCATTTACCTTGATCATGATTATTTATAGTTCTTTCAGAAAAGGCCCTTTACTGGTTTAGCTCTCAAGCACAGCACTGCCACAGGGCAGCTTTCTACAGCGCCTTTTAAGTCATGGCAGTGAGCTAAGATGTGGCCGGTCTTGCAGCTCAGGAGTGTTGTGCAATGGGACCGAAACTAGATGGAATCAGGAGACTCAGACTCGGAACCAGCTCCGCACTCATAATGTCATGTCTGGCCTTCTGTGCTCCCTTTGTGCTGCTTTGAAAAGGAAATGCCACTTTCATCACAAAACTTTAAAACAGAGCCCAACTGGGGAACTTTGTGTGCAAGCCACAGTGTAAGTTGTAAATGCTAAGTTGTTTTATGAAGTGGTTTTGTACAATATGAACTACTTGTAAATCACCACAAATGGAATGGTATGTCTAAACTAAAATACTTCTTGGTGACCTATCCTATTCTCCCTACTGTAATCCGTACAGGAGTGTAAGCTGAGAGCAGGGCCCTTTACTCTTGGTACTGAGTAGGCATTCAACTAAGTATTTGTTCTGTTAACAAATTTCTAGGTGAACGCCATTGCACATGATATGGAATACAAGACAAATTAATACTTCATATCAAACCTCATGACTAAGGTGGCTATCTAGCCATAAATGCACAAGTTGACAATAGAATATTTGTGGTTTTAGGCAAGAGAAGTATGATTAAAGAGTGTCTGAGTATTCACCAGAGGACTGCTTCAGCAGGAACCTTTCCTCTTTCTAACACAGAGTGGGTTTTCCTACATCCAGCTTTCCTTGCCCATGTGTATATTCTGTATGAGCCAGAGCCCTGGCAGAACTAGATGCCCATCCAGAAATGTTTAACTGAAATGTATGTAATGAGGGAGATTATAGAGATGTGGCAAGAATTACGGGAACCAAAAAGAGATGGCATGGCACCCAGAGACAAGCCACAGCAGATGACTTTGCTACCCTACCAGGTGATAGGCACGGCAGAACATAGGGAAAAAATAGAATTGAAGCTAGACACACCAAAAATCCTCATCAACACAAGTCCAGGTATAGTCTAACTGCTTAGACAACTCCCAGGTCAAAGTCAGCAGGAGCTAACAAGAGTTCTGTATGTTTGATACAGATGCTTTAGATAAGATTTTTCTCAATGGCATAAGGGAGAAATTTCATCATTCTGAAGCAGAGGGCTGTTACTCTGCCTTTGTAAGTAACATAGTGCAATGAGTTTGAAATGGTTAAGTATCTTCCTTGACTCCTTGGCACTTACCACGCCCAGCCTTCTCAAGGTACAGAGCAGGAGAAATTGGATTATGCCCTCAACAATAAGAGACGAGTCATCCGCCTGGTTCTTCAGTGGGCTTCCACGTATGGGGACCTCCTCCAAGAGGATGACGTGGCCATGGCTTTCCTGGAGGTACGTGGGAAACATTCTTTCTGCAAATGCGCTTTTGTTCTATAATATAGGAACCTACTCATAGACACAACAGTTTCCCTGGAGAAACTGTAATAGCCACTTATAGACTGGTAACCTATTCATTCATTGGAAAGGTACTGCACACACAAAAAATCATCCATTGTCTTCTAGTTCAATAAGTGGTAGCATTTTCGTGTATTTTCATCGGGTCTCTTTTTCTTTCCATGGTTTATGTAGCTGTAATCACATTAGTACCCATTGTTTTGCAAGCTGCCCTTTTCATTTAACTTTATATAAGGACTTTTGCATTCAGTATAGTCTTTATAATAAAAATCATGCAGTAGCTATGTCACAGACATATTTATTTGTACCCACACTGTTGGATATTTACATTACTTCCAGTCTGCACCTTCCTAGGATAATTGTGCAATTAATATTTTTGTGCAAGTAGATGTGTCCTTGGTTTCCTACGTGGAAGTGGGATTCCTCAATCAAATGGTAGATGTTTTTGAGTGCAGCAAAGCACATCATTTCATTGAGGAATTACTAGTACAAGAAGTGGGAGGCTATATGGTCATTCTGAAGGGACATGGTTTACTTCTGTGTACACTACTTCTTGCTCAGTTGCCCCTTTCCATCCCGTGGCTCTAGCCCCACCTTACAGAACTGACCTTCGCTTTTGGTCCTAACATACAGTAGCCCCCTCTTATCTGTGCGGAATACCTCCCAAGACCTCCAGAGAAGCCCTGAAACTGCAACTAGTAAAAATCCTGTACTACTGTGCTTTTTCTTATGTGCACCTTCCTATATGCACAGTAAGAGCTGAACAATAACTAACAAATAGAATAATTATAACAACATGCTTAATAAAAGTTATATAAAGCTTCAATATTGTTTATTTCTGGAAATTTCCACTTAAAAGGTTCAGACAGTAGTTGATTGCTGGTAACCCAAACCCTGGAAAGTAAGACCCAAGATAAGGGGGTAGGGGGACAGCTGTGTTCATGCTCCCCTCTCACTTTAGTGATGACCTTGCTTCTGTGTAGGTGAGAGACATGTGGCTTGTTTCAAGCTTACAGTCTTTTTTGTGTATTCAAAAATGAATTCTCCAAACGAAATGTGTTCCCTCTCTCCTGCTTCACTGTGTCCTTTTTGGGGAGGCAGAGGAGAAGATGGACTGTAGGCATCCCTCAAGGATGTGGAACGAAATATTCTGAAAGTATAAGGAATATAGCAGCTTAGAGTCATACACTAACTTATTCCCATCCAATACAGAGCCATTCTTCTGGTGAACCAAACCAATGCTGAGGGCACAGCTGCTGCTGAGTTATCAGCGTGGCTTCCAGGGATTCAGCAGAGTCTTGAATGTAGTGTTGAAAGCTATGCCTGCAATTAACCACACTGATGATAAATACTGAGTCAGTAACAAATGCTAAAATAATCTTAAAGATGAATGTTAAGCCCGGCCCAGTGTTGCACACCTGTAATCCCACTACTTGGGTGGCAGAGGCAGGAGAATTGCCATGAGTTTGAGGGCAGCCTAGGCTGCATGGTGAGTTCAAGTCGGCCTGAACTACAAAGTGAGACCCTGTCTCAAAAAAGAAAAAAATAAAATTTCCCTGAAAAGAAGTTTGAGATAAGAAGATGCTCTGAAAGTGTAGACTGTAAGATGAGCTGCTGCAAAACATTGCGTTACATTGCATTTCACCTGAATATCATATAAATAATTCATTTGCAGTTTTTTTAATTTTTACTGTGGTAAAATATATCTGACATGAAATTTGCCATTTTAACCATTTGTAAGTATACAGTTCAGTCACATTCATTTCATTGTAATATTGTACAATCATCAGCACTATTTCCAAAATTTTTTCTTATTTGCAATCTTGTTTTTCTCTCTGTGTCCATGAAACCATGGTCTGATGATGCTAGTGAAGCAGATGATGTGGGGACGTGTCTTTATTGCTCTCTACAGAAGGTGCACCTTTGCAGTTCTTGCTAAAACCTGTGACCTTTGCCAATTACAGGAGTTTTATGTGTCTGTATCAGATGATGCCCGGATGATTGCTGCCCTTAAGGAGCAACTGCCGGAACTGGAGAAGATTGTCAAGCAAATGTAAGGAAGGGCTTGGCTTGGGAGGGTGGGGGCATGAAGTGCCTGCCTCAGAATCAAAACATCTTCCAAAGAGTCCTTTCCTGGAAAGAGAGGGTAGCGGGAGGGAGGAAGGGAGGAAGGAAGAAATGAAGGGAGGGAGGGAGGGAGGAAAAAAGAAAGGAAGTAGAGAAGGAAGGAAGGAGAGAGAAAGAAAGAAAGAAAAAGAAAGAAAGAAAGAAAAAGAAAGAAAGAAAAAGAAAGAAAGGAAGAAAGAAAGAAAGAAAGAAAGAAAGAAAGAAAGAAAGAAAGAAAGAAAGAAAAAGAAAGAAAGAAGAAAGAAAGAAAGAAAGAAAGAAAGAAAGAAAGAAAGAGAAAGAAAGAAAGAAGAAAGAAAGAAAGAAAGAAAGAAAGAAAGAAAGAAAAGAAAAGAAATGAGAGAAGGAAAGAAAGGGAAAGAAAGACTTCAAGCTAATCTTTTAATAATCCCCACAGAGCGGCTGGGGATTTAGCTCAGCGGCACAGTGTGTGCCTGGCAAGCATAACGTTGTGAGTTCGATCCCCGGTACCAGGGGGGAAAAAAAAATAACCCCACAGAGCTCTGATTTGAGCAGACAGGTCCCGGGCATAGGTGACCACAAGCCAGATGAACAGAGCCTGGGCCTGTGTTCAGCTGCCTTGAGGGTTGGAGGACTGCCAAGAGAAAGTCTGGGAAGGCAGAGATCCCCTTTTGGGGAGTTCAGCTCAATAAATGTGGCTGCTGTAGGTTCAGAGTACTAAAGCCAGCAATAAAATGGTCAGTGGCATTTCAAGGGAGTTCGAGGGCCATTCCTTATATGGAAGATTCACTTCCTGCCACCAAGGCTGTTGAAGGCAAATATTTGTGTCCTCCCAGGGAAAGCAGGTTTTCACATGTTGTCATTTATGCCACAGATTAAATACTGGAGCGTGAACACGAGAGAGACTTTGAAAGCTAGAAAGCCTGGTGTTTAACATCAGTTCTCCCCAGGATCCACCTGTGACAAGAGCTGGTGTTTTTGCAGTCTCCCCAGGCTTTGGTCTCTCAGTGCTAAAAGGAGGGAGGCTCATCCTGCCTCCCAAAGGGAGTCCGTGGTTTCATTTCCTAACATAAGATTAAAGTTGTATCCAATAAAGCGATCTGTAGTAACAAAGAGGAGCTTTTAGCAATGGTGTTAAGTGATGTGCTTTCTCTACTTCTCGTAGCTCAGAAGATGCAAAGGCCCCTCAAAAGAAGGTAAGGGGTGGGGCATCCGTTTGGATTCTGTGTCTGTGTCCCATAGAATCACAATTCTCCAAAAATATTATATGGCAATATAATAATATAAAAGTGATATCTTTTTCGTAAAGAGAACCTGTATTTGCTTTATTTCTTGGCACTGACTGCTTCTCAGCTGCGTTTTCTCTGAGTTGCTAGCACATGCTGGTCAGTCCCTTTACCGCACTCACCGTGGTTGTGTTTTGACAGCACAAGGTTCTTTTGCAACAATTCAACACGAGCGATGAGAGGGCCCAGAAGCGCCAGCCTATCCGAGGCTCTGATGAGGGTGAGAATTTTCATCTCAGTTTTGCTCCTGTAGAATATGTAGGGTCAGATTAAAGTCTCCCTGCTGAGAATCATCACTCTGGACCCACAGAAAAGCTGTTCTTAGAGCTGCCCTTTGGGTGCTGGTTATTTATGTTCTTGAACTCTTGCACCCAGAGTTGAGGTGTTTGTCCACCCTTGGCTGATTCTACTTCTCCTGAATGCCACCTTTCCTTGGAGGAAATGCAGATTGTCTCGGGGCCTGGCTGTCAAGGCCACCACCTTTGGGAACAGCTGGTAGGAAAGCAGTTGGCCCTTTGTAGCCACAAAGGGAAAATGGAACCACAGGGCCATTAGCAGAGCCGGGCAGCTGGGGGAGGTGCTCTGGCCTGAGCATAGCCTCCTTATCTGCCCTCAGGAATGTGAAAGTGTTAGCTTTTGTTTGGTTGCCCAATATTTCTCCAAAGAATCACAACCACAAATAATCATAATAATGATAAAAGTTTTATTTCAAGCCACAAATGAATCTTGTAATCTAGGAGTGCCTTAAAACCCACGAATGGCAGGGTTGTTGCCAAGAATTGTTGCCAGGGTTTGTCCGGTTAGAGATGAGCCTGTGGGTGCCATTCACTGTCTGCTGAGCTGACTCCACATAAGCCATGTGGCCCAGCCCAAGAGCAACACAGCAGTGAAGCAAGTGAGCAGGAAAGTCAGCATGTGTTCACGGCTTCAGAGGCGTTACTGTTGACTCCCTGTCCCATGCTGGGCGACGATCACCTAGTAATCAGCCCACAGTGTGACACTTCCTCTGTTGTGAGAAAGAATAACCAGGGATAAAGAAAACCCAGAACATCGGCCTACACATACTTCTCATTTTTTCCCATGACCTATTTGTGGTTTTTCACAAGTGTCTGTTGGTTTTTAAATTGGGGGTGTTAGCCACCTGTGCTTCTATGCTTAGGCCATTCTAGAAGGAGGCAGTCATATGTGTAGCTGTGTGTAAGTAAATACAGTAGTAAGAATGGCAAGATGATGTAAATGTGGGAGATTGCCCAAACATTTTGCATAGCTTAGAGCTTTCATAAGAAATCCCAAGGCCACTCTCCCATATGGTTAATGGTCTTTGTACAGTTTTGTTTAAGGTCTATTGCATGGACCACACCTACACCACCATTCGGGTGCCAGTGGCTGCCTCGGTGAAAGAAGTCATCAGTGCAGTAGCCGACAAGCTGGGCTCTGGGGAAGGCCTGATCATAGTCAAGATGAGCTCTGGAGGAGGTAACAGTCATAGTTCATATTTGGTGCTTTTGCACAAAGGGCGTTCCCTCTCAAGAGAAACCATGCCAGAAGTTAGTGTCGCCACTCCTGGCTGACCCAAAAGGATGACTTGGCCGGGCATCATCATTATCTAGAAACATAACTTGTTATAGAAGTAGCCAGTGCAGCTTTGATATATACATACAGTTGCAGTGCAGAAGTGGGTGCACTGACACTCAGGTATTTCCGCTGCTGTGGTGTGGTCACTTCTGGTGGCACCCTGAGTACTGTGTAGCTGCACGAGAGCAGTGTCGCTTTTATTCAGTGAGTCCCTCTGGTCCTGTATTTTATGCAGTCGCTCTGCATGTTCCGGTAATTCACCGAGCTGGCAATTTGTTGGTGTGATTAGGGCCGTGCAGCAAATCTCAGATGTATTTAATAGGCAATCTCATGTTTTTTATGTTCACAGAAAAGGTGGTGCTCAAACCTAATGATGTTTCAGTATTTACGACGCTCACCATTAACGGACGCCTGTTTGCTTGCCCGAGAGAGCAATTCGATTCGCTGGTAGGTGTGATGGTCGCCTTGGAGCAGCTTCTGCAATCAGAAAAACTTGTCTGGAGCTTAATTTTCCAGTCACATTAAACCTACTTGCTAAAAGTCTCCAGTGCACCTTAGCTTGTTCTATCCTGCAGGCCTCAGGTGTTTGCTGGAGATGCTCTGAACTTTAGATTCTTTTGTACGAATCAGTCAAGTAGCGCCACTACTTGGGACATAATCCAGCTTTCAGGACTCCATTGTAATTTGCCTTATTGCAATGTCCCCAATTTTTTTTTTTTGGTTTTTTTTTTTTTTTTTTG